CATGCTGGGACATGGAATTATCTATTTAGAGGCCACGCAGCTTGAGACCCTCAAGCTGCACATGGTGCAGGGTGGGGGTGAGGGCGTTCAGCCTGCGTGCAAAGCAGCTATGACCATTTAAAAACACACTTGGGTCCTGCTTACTTTATGATTGTAAACCATGCGCTTTTCCAACCCACTGCCTTTCTGGCTGCACATAAGGATAACCAGGGAGGGTCAAGCTGCACCCGTAAACGTTTGGCCAGACTCTGAGACAGCCCCAAAGTTTGAAAAAAATGGTTACCAAGTAGAGCCAAGCAGCTGCAGGTCTTGTTCCAGTCCAAGATGTTGAGCTCCACCCCAGACTCAGCACTGACGGGGGAGAGCTGCACTTCTGTTTTTTGCAAGGATGTGGCTAAAGGCAAGCAATGTTGAGCTCTCTTTGGACTTCCAGTAGCACTGTGCTCTTGCACACATGATAGTCATTCAATTCGATGTCTGCCATTGGCTCACCCAACCACTTTCACAAAGCCACATCTAAACCTGTTTTGAAGTTTGAATGACAATTTCATCCATAAGCTAATGAGTTTGGGTTTTTGTTTTGTTTTTCTATTTTTCATTTAAAATATTTTATACAGCCAGGCATGATGGTGCATGCCTTTGGTCCCAGCACTGGGGAGGCAGAAGCAGGCCAATCTATGAATTTGCGGCCATCCTGGTTACAGAGTGAGGTTCAGGACAGCCAGAACTACACAGAGAAACCCTGTCTTGAAAAACAAAACACAAACAAAACTTTTTTACAGAATACTTTTGATCATGGCATCCCCTGCCCCAACTCTTCCCAGATCCTTTCTACTTTTCTACCCACTTAACTTTATGTTCTTTTTCTTTCCAGAAAACAAAAACAAAACAATAAAGAGCCAATAAGACCAAAAAAACAAAAAACAAAACAAAAAAAACAACAAAACAAAACCAAACAAACAAAAACCACCTCGCTTTGATTGGCTCTTGAGGTTCAGGCAGCTGAATACTTGGGTCCTCAGCTGGTGAGGGTTTGGCCTTGCAGGAGGAAGTGTGTCACTGAGGGGGTTAGCAGGCTTCAGGAGTTCATAGCTTCACCCACTTTCAGTTCTCTCTGCCTTGTTCTGTTTGTGGTTTAGGATGTAATCTCTCAGCTTCTTACTCTGCTGCCGACTGCCATGTGTGGACTCTCCTTCTGGAGCCATAAACCCAAATAAACTCCCTCAAGTTGCCTGTAGTCAGGGTGTTTATTTCAGCAGCAGAAAATAATTACAGTGCCTCTTTCCGTAGCTGAGTTCTCACACCAAGATTTCCCCACTGGCCCTGAGCGTCAGCTTTCTTCTCCTGTGAGAGTTCCAGCGCTTTTTGCCTTACTAACACTAGACTCAAAACTGGTTTCCTCAACTAACAATAAAAACCACAGCCCAAGAGGCAGGCAGATCTCTGTGGGTTTGAGGCTCTCCTGGTCTACAAAGCGCATTCAGGACAGACAAGGCTACACAGAGAGACCCTATCTCAAAAAAACAAAACACAAAGAACAATTAAAAAATGTAGTCCAAATCCAAATTGTCAAACTATGAATAATAGCATTTACCTACTGTCCATTGACAGGCAAGCACAGGGAATGGTCTAGCAGCCTAGGGCTTCAGTCTGGGTGTGTAAACCCATCTTCTAATAGTGCAGTCACTCATCTGAGACCCTTACCTGCATGTACTACACCACCCCCACTCTAAACAATAGAATATACTTATCTTCCCTTTAACAACCACGGAAATAAAAAATTCCATTAAACCATATTCTGGTTATATCTAGGTCTATATCCTTAGGGACAAATGTCCCTAAGATTCTAGAACAGGATATAGAATCTGGCTGGCTGCATGCTTTTAGCTATCTGTTAAACTGCTTGTTTGCTCTTTACTTCCTCCTGCAACTGCCGACTAGGGTGTAGTTTTTCTCTTTTCTTTGTGAATGCATTCCAGGGTGCTCTGGGAGAATTCTATCTCCAGGCAGTTGCCAGCTGGCTTAATGCAGACTCTCAATTCACTGAGTGGTCCTTGGGTCCCTACCCTGTAACATGGCCAACGTGGCCTGAGCTAGTTTGGGGTGCACTATATACAAACTATCCTCCAAGGGAACTTTCAGTAATAATCCCTTATTTTACCAAACTACAGAAAATCCAGTGTGCATATATTAAAGTCAGATGCGTTTTGGAAACAAGCACAGTAGAGAAGTGGTTATATAATTTAATCTGTCAATCAAAATAGAGAACCATCCAAACTACTTCTCTTCTAACAAAACTCCTTCTTAGGCCCTATGAAAAGAAGCTCTGGAGCCCTTGGTACACCGCCCCACGTGGCCTCCTTTCTAATCAGGATAATGGCCTCTCTTTAAAGTAGGTGTCCTTGCTACTTTTGCAATAAGCCTTTATTTCAGTTCCTTGAGTAAGAGGCCAAGAACCTGGAAAGCCAGCCCAGACTTCAACCACTGTAATGCCCAGACTAGAAAGCTACTTACAATGGCCCAAACTTAAGAATTATATCTTATGTAAAACTGTGACACCAAAAAATTTAATGTAAAAATTTGGTACTTGGAGGAATAAGAGCTTCATGAAAATATGAATTGGCATGATCTCACTTTATTAGCTTGGTAATGCAAGTCATCCTAGTGAATTGGATACATGCAGTTCTCAGAAAAATTGCTGTCTAAATGCATATGTGAACATATACGCAGAATTCTTTGAAGAACTGACTTAAGACTTTTCAAACTCTGAAGTGTGATGTTATGGGGGGAAAAAAATGGAGCTTCTGTTCATGGTAGTTTTGGGTTTATAAAGGTTTCATTTCTGGCAAGGAAGCACATCTGAAAGGAGAACTGACAGCTGAGAGATCACCTGGCCCTGTCTCCTAACTGTGCAGATGAGAAATCCACAGTCCTGGCAAAGACTCAGAGCTCTAGACAGGGCAGGTCCACTTACTGGTTCTCAGAGGTGCTCTGGAAATGTCAGCAGCCCCAGTTACAGAGGAATGACTTTGGGTTTTTCTGTTCAATACGGGGCTAATATCTGGTATTTCTTCTATAGTTTATAAACCTGCTCAGTTGCTTTGAAGACAAAATCACACTCACTCCTGCCACTCGCTCACCAGCAGTCTGTTCTCTGAACTTGGACTCTTTCCTATTCCTCTGTGTTCATAGAAGACCTACACCAAAGGGCCTGTTCTGCTGTGAAATGCAGCAGCAGCAGCAAAAGCTGTGTTCATGGAATCTCCAAAACCATCCATCTGAGCAGAGGGCAGTCCGTTTCTCCAAGCAGCTCACTCTCACAGGAAGAACCCTGGTTTGTCCTTCTGAGCAGTGGCTTTGTTTTGTAAGATGATGTGGGGGACACCAAACAGCAGTAAGATCTCCTATCCTATTAAAGATGTGCTAACTGGAGACGCAGCCCAGGCCTGGAGCACTTGCCCAGAACTGAGAGGCCCCAGGTTCAACAACCCCCCACCTTAACTCCCTCACAAACGAAACATGACACAGAATGTACAATACACTTCTTCTGGCAACCTTTTTTTTTTTTTTTTTTCCTTGCCACTGAAATGGCTTTTATTGTCAATTCTTCCAGAATGCAAGCTGCAAGAAAACAAGGCCTCTATTCCACCCATCAGAGCTCCTGATTGTGTCCTGGGCATCCTTCAAACAGAAATGAGTTTTCCTGTTTGCGGAGGCTCAGCCAGTGTTCCAAACCACAGCCATGCAGGGCTCTTCTGGCAACTTTTAATCTACTTTGTCTCAGCCAGTGGTTGTCTAGAACCAGGTATTACTCACTGGTTAAAAAAAAAAAAAACAAAAACAAAAAACTGGCTACATATTTTAATTTAAACCTCCAATGAGTAGGTACAATGTATTTATTGACTATTTTCTTTCTTTTTAGAAAAAATTATTTAGTTGTATGGGTATTTTGTCTATAGGTCTATGAATCAGCTGCATGGCTGGTATTTATGGAAGTCAGAAGAGGGCATCAGAGCCCCAAGAACTGGAGTTACGATGGTTTGGAGAGGCTATGTGTGCGCTGAGAACTGAACACAGGTCCTCTCTAGAAAAGCAGTAAGTACTCTTAACCACTTTCTCCAGCCCCTTCTGGCTACTTTTTAATTTCAGGAGCCATACCCCAATCTGCTGGAAACCAGTGCACTTTCAAAACGTTACACATTCACAGCCAAGCTGTGCTTACAAAGGAACTCTTCAAATTTCAGAATAAGTGAGTCTAACTTCTCCATAGTCTCAGACTGCAGCAAGGGAAGACTAATAGTCCAGCTTCACATATTTCTTTTTCAGAAGGACTGCTCAGCAGGGGTGTATGTCTGATTTAGGTTCCCCTTATGTGCAGCCTTCCTAGGCGTGCCTTTATAGGCATGTCTGTCAGAGCCAGCTCATACTTCAAGCTCATCTTCTAAGGCTCCACTCATTAGGTATAGTGCTGATACAAGGCCGTGATATATTACAACTACTACCATATTGAAGATTCAGCACACCCTTCTGAAATGCAATCCCATCACTCATTTCAAGAAATAAAGGCTCTGATACAGAAATACTTGCTCCCAGCTGGAAAAATTATTCATGTACTTTCATTTGCCAAGCTGGCAGACCACACTCTTCTCACTGCTGCCAGTTTTTCTTCCTTTGGCTGTTTCTTTTTATCCTGTTGGGACATATGGGATGCACAGAGCAGCAGGAGCTGTTTCTCTTACCATTTCACTTTATACTTTCCTTCCTTGTTCACTAACTGCAAAAAACTGTGGCCTCACAATACAATACCATGACTGAACTCTGTGCTTGAAGAATAACAGAAACGACTGAGAACACGAACAGTGCAATCACAGCAAGGCCAAGGTAGCTGGCTGGTGAAGAAGCCAGGAGTGCAGCATCGGGAAAGCACAGATTCCCTTACATTACCAGGAAAGACCTCATCTGAACCATCTCAGAAACTACATCAAAATGCAATTTCTTAATTTATTCATTTGTCTATGCATTTATTTATTTATTTACTTTTTTTTTGAGACAGGTTTCTCTGTGTAGCCCTGGCTGTCCAGAAACTCACTCTCTACACCAAGCAGCTTCTTCCTCCCATGTGCTGGGATTAAAAGCATGCACCATCACTGCCCAGCAAAATGTATTCTTTTAAAAGCTCCCATCACAGGCTGCTGGAGAGATGGTCCAGAGGTTAGAAACTCCTAATGCTTCAGAGGACCAACTGTGAGTCCCAGCACCCATATCTGGTGGCTTCCCTGTGACTCCTGTTCCACAGGATCCAGTGTCTCTGGCCTTCTTGGGCAATTGTACTTACATGCACAGACCCACACACAAATGTATACATACACATAATTAGAAATAACAAATCTTTAAAACAAAATAAGGACCCCCAGGATTGAGGTGGATGATGTTGTTTTCAAAAAATGAGTTAGTTTTAAGATATTCAAATGATGCAACCAAGGGAAAGAAGAGGCACCAGTTTATAAGGCTCTTCCTTAAATTCAGATGGACAATTAGGAATCCTTCCAATGCCATGCAAGCATGAAATCCAGGCCTGGTATGTCACAGGCTCACTTTTTCCAGGTGAATTCAGTGGCTGGTGAATATCCATACCCATAGAAGAGCAAGCCATGGAAGAGGTAGGTCACTGCACTCATCCATCCACCTGGGCTCTTCAGGATTTGGATCCCTGAGGGCTTCTTCAACATTTTACTAGCTCTTTGTTGGTTGAAGGTGCTGGGACTGTTTCTCCGCACATAAACTGATCCTAAAACAGAAGAAGAAATGCTATTGGCCACCAGGTTTTTGTCCACAAATGCATTAACATCACTTTCAGAATTCAGCTATTAGTTTTTTCACTACTGTCATTTCTCTCTCTCTCTTTTTTTATTGCTAGCAATGAAAAATTAACATGTGAAATTTAGGGGAAAATCCACTTCTACTATTATAAAAATTCCAACAAATTTAAAAAGTTTAAGACTTTATGTACCAAAAATTAACTATTGTCCAGAAATGGACTGTATGCCCTAAGATGTTAGCAGCACCCTTGATGTACCCGAAAGATACTAGCAGCTATCCCAGTCAACGCAACTGGAGACAAGGAAGCGTTTTAAAGAGTTCTTTTTATTTTTACTTATATGTATGTACATACCCCATGTATGTGTGGTGCCCGTGGAGGCAAGAAGAGGGCATCAGATTCTGTACGGCTGGCATGACAGATGGCTGTGAGCCACCATTGTCGGTGGTATAAATGGAACTCCAGTCCTTTCTGGAAGCTCTTAACCACTATGCCATCTCTTGAGCCCTAAAAGCACTTCATTTTTGCACAAAGAGCTGGCATCAGCACTAGAACTAGAATCTAAAAGCACCCTGAATTCATTGTTTAATTAGCAGTATCTTATAAACATCTGTTTGCGGGGAGCAAACAATTCCCAGAAATAAACATGTCACATCTTTTAAGGTTTTGCATTAATCAGCTCAATGTCTGGTCATTCCAATATATACCCTCTTCAAAACGGACAACAAAAGGAATAACCACCCCAGTTACTGCACATCTCCTACGGTGTGGTTCTGGAGTCAGCCTCTCTAGTCTGTCCTCGTTATTTCTTTGTTCCATAGGCCATTTTAGTCCAAGAATGGATCATTACCTTTCTACATTATTGTACAAATGAAAGCCTGCTTCTCCCATGAAGCTCTGTGCTTTGCTCCAATTTACCCTATACTCATTTTAGAATTCATCCTTAACATGTAAAATTTTTTACTTTTGACTCCAAAGCACTAACTGAACTTTGGGTGGGAAGTAAAAGCATTTACCCCTTTTCTAGGGTTATCCTTATTGGAAACAAAGGAACATGAATTTAACATGAAACTGTAAAATTGCAACTAGGAGGATTATCTCAAACAAGATAATGTAGATTCTATACATAAACCAGGGAAGCAATAAAATGCAATCTTTTTTAAAATGTCCTGGAGCTCTGAACAAACTTAACTAAATATTAAATACAAAAGAAAGAACATCAGTTAAAATAATCTCCATGAGAATTTTTCATTCCTGATTAAGTCATCAATTTTCCTTACAAAGCAATTTCTTTATTGCCCTTTCCAAAGTGAACACAACGTTTAAACTTAAACAAGAGTATCATACAGCTACTTACTGACGTTTTTTAAAGCTTTTTAAAAACAGCCCTTCATCTAGCACAGGGTTAAAAAACACTCTTCTGGGTGTGGTAGCACACACACACCCTTAATCCCAGCTCTTAAATGCAAAAGCAGAAGGATCTCAGCGAATTCAAGGACAGCCTGATCTACATAACGAGTTCCAGTACAGGCAGGGCTACATAAAGACCCCATCTCAAAAATCAAACAACAAAACACACACACACACACACACACACACACAACAACACCCTTCTTCACTTTTATATTAGACAGGCTACTTTAGGCCTCTGTCATTACCTCCCGACACCCGCCCCCTTCAATGCCTCCCTTACTTTGTCATAAATCACTTTTATAATGAGAGAGCAGCTAGGACACGTTGCCACATCTTCTCCATTCTCCAGATCTTCCTACAACGAAATCAAACAACAGGTGGTCAGCACAGCTTCCCTTTCGTCATCCTCCCACGAAGCTCTCCCACGGCTAGGTGCAAGCCCTGGGTTGGATAACAGCACAAACAACTTTCCCCAAGTGTCACCTAGGAAAACTGAGGAAATAGTCTGGTTCGGTCGCCTCCAAAATTCTGGGGTACAAAATCGAGTTCCCTTCTCCAAAGAAGTTCCCAGAAACAGATTTTAAGGGTGAGGCTACGGAGAAGTGCGCCCTTAACCATTCTGCGTTCCCATGACAGCTTAGGTAACAACTTCAGGGGCGGGGGTTCAGAAGAACACGTGGGTGACTAAGCCTTCCCAGGGACACCGGAAGCGAAACGCGCAGGCTCCAGAAGTCGCCGGCCGGCCCTAAAATTACCTTGGTGATGGCGAAGTTATCCCCACAGGGGCAGGGGTAGAAATACGTCTCCGAGTCCTCGTCGTATTGAAAGTCCTCGATCTCCACCTCGTCGTGAAATACCGCCATGACCACCCGATCGGCACCGCATCAGCCTGCCTAACTCCGCCCGTGCGGGGTAGGCCGGGGTTTCGCGGGCGCCCTGGAGCAGGGACAACCACTTCCGGGCGCACAGGTGATGACGCAACCTCGGCCGCCGCGGCCAAATGGGTGACCCGGTGGCGGTCGCCAAGGAGATAGTCTAATCAGCGGCAAGATCGCGCTTCCTGCGCAGCGGGGTTGCGCAGGTCTCCGCCTACTCGGTGGCAACGACCAATAGTGTGAGGGGCTTCTTCACACGCCCGCTACGTCACTCTGGGGCCCGGAGCGGTTGGGGCCGGGCGGTAAATGAGTTTGTCATGCGTCCTCGTCGCTGACTCCGGAGAACCTTGGAGGAGTTGGTTGCAGGCTGCGGCCCTCAAGAGAGAGGGTCGCCTCGTCACTGAGGCTCAGGGAGCCACCCAGCGTCCTCTCCGGCCCTCCTCGGCACACAGCGCCCCGGGGGTTGCGTTTCAGGCGGCCTTGAGCTCTGACTGATGCCTGGCCTGTTACAGTTCCTGCTCTCAGGTACATGGCCGCCTGTCTCGCCCCAGCCACTTCCAGATACCCTGATTGTGTTGTAGAGGACCAAGATCTGCAAGAGGGGCACGAGTTCTAGCCATATTTTAATTATTGTTGCTTTTCGTGGGCCACCTATGCCTAAGTGTAAGTCTGTTGATCTGGGGTTCAAAACTACATTTTATTCATCTTTAACCCAGATTAAGAGACTGGGCAGCCTGCCCAAGATTATATACCTGGGCCATAATGAAGCGCCTGGCTGTCTCCAAAGCCCGGGAACAAATTATGTATGTGAACTTTAGTTCTTGGTAAAAGGAGTGGGCTGAAGAGATGGGTCATCAGTTAAGAGCACTGGCTGCTTGAGGACCCAAGTTAAATTCCTAGCACCTATGTTGAAGCTAGTTATGTCCATAGCTTCAGTTCCAGGCCACCTTTTTCTGGCCTCTGAGGGCACTAGGCATGCATATGGTGCACAGATGTACTTGAAGGGAAAATACCCGTGCACATAAAACGGTAATAATGAAAAAAATGGAGCAGGAGAATTGGCACAGTGGTCAAAAGCACTTGTTGGCCTGCTCAGGGACCTAGATTTGATTTCCAGCACCCACATGGAGACTCACATCTGTCTGTAACACCAGTCCCAGGGAATTCAACTCCTCTGACCTCCATAGGTAACAGGCACACACATACATGAAGGCAAACATTCATACATATAAAATAATAGCATAAAAAGATTTAAATAATAAAATAAATTTTTAAAACATTTCTTTTTACTAGTAATGGTGGTTGAACCTTCTATCTTTTACATGCTAGATACATGCTGTACTAGCTTAGCTATACCAACAAGTCCTGATCTCTTAGAAAACAATTCAGACTCATCAAAAACAATTTTTTGGTGAATCTTAAAACCTGAAGTTACAGAAGCTAGCTAGCTTTATATTAGAAAGCTTTTTGGCAAGTAAGGCTTGATGGGGCTTTTTCTGTTTTCTGTCTTTGTACTTATCAATTTATTGTCTCTGCTATTGTAGGATCTTTGTGGGAATTTCAGTATATGGAAAACTCTGTGTTTCAGCTGGTGTGAATCCAGAGGTCGTAGTGTAGTGCTGGAACCAAAATACTGTATCAGCCAGCTGAGCACTCCCAGAATTCCATGGGTTTCTAAAGTAAGTTCTGCTTGCTCACTTTCAGTGACTAACACATTGTTTTTGGTTGGCACATTTAAAGGGGAAAAGCTACCTTATCAGTCTTGCGTGAGGTAGCAGAGACCTTATACCTCTTTCACTTACTGGAGATGCCTAGCCGTAGCATGTTGATTCTCAACATTGTCAAACTGTACTGTGATAAGAACTCTGTCTATCTGAATGAAGACTACTCTAGGGAGCTGTGGCTTTGGAAGCTTTCTTCAAACCTGCACTGCCAAAGGTTAGACGAGCGCCTGCTTCATATTGATCCCTTAGTGGTTTCCATTGAAGGAAAATATTCTCCTAACACTTAACTTACCATAGTCAGTTTATATAGCGCCTTCTAAAATGCTTTGGGAAGACATGTTCACAGATCCTCCCACCTGATCATGCAATTAAGATATCAAGTGATGCTGGGCGTGCTGGCACATGCTTATAATCCCAGGACAAGGCAGGAGGAGCCCAAGTGTGGGGCCAGCTTAGGGTACACAGTGAATTCAAGGCCTGGCCGCTTAGTAAGCTTATCTCATAAGCCCAAACAGAAAACAAAAGTAGAGTGTTGAGACTCCTTCTGTTTTGTTTTATCGCATTTTTATTAAAGTGTAACATAGGAAGTGTCCGGCACCTACAGGGACAGCATTCGCGCACTATAAATAACAGCGATGACGGCGCATTTCACTTACATGCAGCAATATCCAGTCATAGGCTGCAGGTAGCAAATCACATGAAAGCAGGTAGACTCCACCGAGCATATATTCTTTGATACCAGCTACATAGGGTGGCAAGATAAACAAAATAACCTATAATGTTAGAAATCGGTCCGTCTTGAAAAGTGGCTGTTAAGAGTGCTGTTTCTGTGTACAGGTACAGGCCTCAGTATGTCCACTTTGGAAAATCTTTAAGCTGTCCTTGTGGGTGGGTGCTTTGTGTTTATGTGTATAGGTGTTTTTGCCTGTGTCTGTGTCTGTGCACCATGTGTTGGTACCTGCAAAGATCAGAAGAGGGCATCAGATCCCCCAGAACTGGAGTTGCAGATAGTTGTGAGCTGCCATGTGGGTACTAAGAGTTGAGCCCTGGTCCTCTAAAAAGCAGCCAGTGTTCTTAACCACCAAATCATCATCTCCAGCCCACAAGCTCTTTTTCATCTGCCCCTAACATAGTCTGGCGTTTTTCTACTTTCTCTGAAAATGGTTTTAAATTTCAGTTACCTTTGCCCACGAAGCACCATGGCCCATGTCGTGATTCCTTGGCTGTCTCGTGGTCCCGTGGGAGCCATCTGCGCTCAGACTGCTTTGTGGAGATTGACAGCCAGCACTTTACGTCACTTCACCCTAACCAGGTGGGTTGTCAGCCTCTGGTGTCATGTGGGTTGCTTCTCAGGGACCTGCTCTGCCCATGGTTTGGGAGGGCCTTCAGGCTAAAGAGAGTCAGCATGCTGGCCTCAGTGAGCATGCCGTCAGATTGGAAACTCCATTGAGTGTGCAGCTTAGCACTCGCAGAGTTGCAGTATTTTGTAGAATCCACAATTAATTGTTTTTTCCATAGCTTTGAATTTTTTTTTTTTTTTTTTTTTTGGTTGGGGTGCAGGGGAAGCTAGTTTTATTATTATAAGGATAATGCTTAATTACCTAATTTTACCTTCTTTTAAAAAGCATAATGAAATCCAAAAGGAAAACTGATCATTTGGAGAGAACTGCAAGTGTCCTCCGACGGGAGGTTGGTATCTTTGGGGCATGGTGGGTTTTCCTGGTTGAGCAGCTTGCATACTCGTGACTGGCTTATAGGAGAGGCATTAGGTGAGACTGGTCCCCATGAGGGACAGTCAGAGAAATTTTATTTTCCTGTTCTGGAACCTCCTGAACAGGGTATATGGTAACGAATTAGAAAGCAGTGGCTAAGCAGTACTAAGGTTTTCCACCAAGTTTGCCGTGAGCTGCCTGTTTCAGTGAGGGAACACAGCCGAGACCAGGCCCCCTCCTCACAGGTTCACTGAAGCATGCTGTAGGAAAGCGAACTTGTAGAGCCTACATGTTAAGAATGGCTTACCTTTTTTCTTTTTGTTTTTGCCATCATGTCTCAAAGTCCTTGTTCGTCCCACTTTAGAAGCACCTGCTAGCTCATCAAAGCAGCACTAACATCTGAGACAGGAAGGTGGACAAGCCCATTGCCCTGCCCCTGCAGACTGTCAGTCACACTCAGGCTATAGAAAGCTAACCTGCCACCTGAAAGGTGCTGAGGACTGGGCAATAGAGGAGCCTCACCATTTATCTCAGTGAGTAGCCTTGTTTCCCCTTAAAACACACAGTGCATATTTGCTTTTACTTTTTGAGTTATTTCAGGTGTATTTAGCTTAGTATTTTAAGTCTCTGTATAAGCCAAGAAAAAAAACCTGTTTGTATGCACTTCTACAAACATGATTAGAAATTGTATTGTCAGCATAGTTTCATTTTATGCTTTAATACAAGGAGATACTTTAACATATATATTATTTAGGTCTTACTTTTAAAACTTAATTCTACTGTAGAGAATTGCTTTGGTACTAAAGGTGATTGTTGATTCTATTTTAAGTTTTTTTTTTTTTTTTGAGAAGTATGTAAAGCTAATTCAGCAGAGTTAAATTTATAGGCATATAAGAATAAGAAAGTAGACTTTTCCCACTGAATCTGAAAACACGTTTTTCAACACACAAAAAGTGCTGATAGTGTAAATGTGAAGCTTGTTAATGCTTTCTTTATGAAAGTAAAGTCCTGTCAGTTGTAAAGAAACAATGGTTTATATCATATGCTTATGTGTACTCTTTTTGTGGTATGTGGAGGAGGATAGATAAACTTTGTCCAAAGATCCAGATAGTAAGTCATTTCATCACCAAATAGCATCTCTGGAAGGATGTAAGCAAATCAGGCTTGCTGTGTCCAGTCAAACATGACTCACCAAAGTGCTGAGATTTGCCCTGTAGGTAACAGTAACCAGTGTTTGAATTAGAGTCGCCATTTCAGGATCTTATCAGGCAGAAGTATTGGGACTATTGGGAGGCTGTTATGATCCCAGTTTAGGACAAGAAAGGCTGCTGCTATTACAATTGAAAGCAGAGTACCTGGTTCTGATAGTATTGCTATCTTCAGGGGAAAATTCTAACTCCCTTTTCCCCTTTATTTATAATTTTTATTCTCCCAAACATAACGAGAAGTGAGAGGAGATGGGAGGAACTGAAGAAACTAGATGACTTCTAGGGCCAGCACCCAAACATTATGTGGTATCAGTCCCTTCCAGAGGGTCTTCCCTCAGAGCAGAGGCTTGAGCTTGGGCTACACAGATCCTCATGCTGAGTTGTAGCAGAACTGGACCAGTTCTTTATGACCTCACCTTCTGCTCTTTACTTGATAG